TTTATAAAATAAAGCTCGCCCAGAACAGACCAGACGCCACGCTGGCGGGCTTTGGAAAGCGCTCTGATGTACGATTTAGAGGCTGCCGTGTTTTGTCCCTCTTCCTTCCTCAGTGTCTGTGAAACCACCAGCCCTTTGCTATTTTTCTCCCTAGGCAGATTTGCAGGAAAGCTTTCCAACGCGCCGCAGTCGCTCTGAACCCTTGTACGCAGGGGACGGAGCCGTGGTGCTCTCAGTTGCCGGCGCGAGCAAAGGTCCGACTCGGAAAGAGGCCAGTGCACCTTGCAAGATTATACTTTTTTGGATCCTATACATTGAATTGGTGCTGTCACCGACACAATGCTAGGAACCCACGTTAAAATCTAAATGCTTTTGAAAATGTTTAACCTAGTTAGACAAATTAGCAAAAATTTGTGCAAAACAATTTAGGTATTTAAAATATTCAATGTTTTTAAAAACTGGAAAAACTGTTCTTAGCTTTCAGCTGCAAAAACCCAACAAAATATAACATCAAAGCAATCTTAACATGAGGTGCAACATAACCCTTCAGCAAAGCTGTTAAACAGCTACTGAAGCATCATGGGAAATAGCACTTCATTTATTCAAATGCACATATGTCAGGTTTTTGCACCATATGTCATTCCAAGCTATTTACAGTAATAATTAAATCTTAATCAACGTTTAACCTCTGTAAAATGTTTGAAGGGATCTAATCACCCTTCAGACTGCACTAATGAAGGAGAAATATATAAACATAAAAAGAAAATGATGCATAGATAGCACACCAGAAAGAACAGTAATTGCAAAATTGTATTTCTTTTAAATATAATCAGCAAATTATGTAAAGTAAGCCAACGAGTATTTTAAGTGAAGACATCTTGGGTGTCAGAGGTGTGATCAGCTAATTTTGTACTGCTATCCATAACAGATGTAGCATATTTTCTTTTAGTGCCATTATTAGCAACTTCACCATTTCTTTCTGTGCTGCACCACAAAGTGAAGCATTGTAATGGGGGAGACTACCCAGCAAAGGTAAAGGAAAGGCTATTCTCACGCACGCCAGCCCGGCGGGATCCATTTTGAGAGCGGACTGACTCCAGCCCGCCTGGCTCTGACGCAGCTTTTCTTTCCATTGTTTTCCTTCTCGTCTTCCAGACAGAGCAAGGAAAGCTCCCAGGCATCGGGGCTGGGCATTTGCACCCACTGGAAGGAGAAACACCCAGGTGGAAGGGGCTTCGAAAGGCCCTGGAAGAGGGTGGGCCAACCCTCACGCCAGGTGCTGCCAGACCTCACTCCTCCCCGTGCGAAATCCCGTGCGGAAGATGGGGGGAGAGGCCGCCTTCAGCACGTACTACTTCATTCCTTCAGTCTATCAGGGTTGATTTTTGTAAGAGAGTGTAATTTCACCCCTTTTGGGGTAGACTGCTCTTCCAGCTGTTGGTGGCCTGGACCTCCTTGACCAAGGTTCCACCCAACACAGCATCCCAAAAGGACGTGGCGACCACAGCGCCACACACTGCCATGCAGCGCATACGCAGTGGGGCGAGCCCGACCTGGCCACCTCGAGAATCCCAGTAGCCTTGCTGTGGACCTCTTGAGTCGAGAACTGGTGGCAGAAGCCATCTTGGGAGTAGATGAATCAGCTTTCGCTAAGAGAAAGGAAATCCCCGTGTTGATCACATGGAGATACTCCTACACTGCTGCAGGGGAGAAAAGGGTAGTTTCCTCCAGAACAGGGTTTGATAGGTGCTCCCAAACCCTTGAGAGTCTTCTGGAGGTTGGGCTTGTTGGTCACTCAATTCTTTGTGCCTCAGCTTCAGAAAAAACAGATCAGGAGGGTTCCCTCTTGGTCAGGGAGACACCGAGAAGCCCTCTAAAAAGAAATGCATGCCATGGAGGGCGCAACGAGGAGCAGACTTTACAGTGGGTGGTGGGACCTCGCTCACCCCTTGAGGGACAACTGGTCCTTGCCCTTCCAAACTGAGTGCCTACCGTAGGACTGGGCTTGAATTGTGACCATCCTCTTCCTCCTGAAGAGGTAGACCTACTTGTCATGCTGGGGCAAAGGATGGATCCCCTTCCCGAGTCAAGGATTACAGTGCTGAGGTGCCTAACAGGAAAAGCCTTCAACCGTGATGATGGGAGAATGCAAGTCCAAGTAGGGCGCAAGCTCACCACCAGCACTTGAGGGAATCACGCTGTACAAGCGCCACTACCAGGTGTGCTGAAAAGGGGCTGATTTGGGAGAAGCCCGCTGCCTTCCAGGCAGACCATCAGTACAGCACTGACCGCTCGATAACCTGCCGTTCTGGCACAGGAGACACCATAGCAACACAGCAGGAGAAGGGGAAAAGCCTGCTCTTCTTCTAGAAGGCTAATGAAAGCTTTGGGGTAGCTGCACGTAGATCCTCACCAGGGGCTGGCCAAGGTGCACAGCAGGGCAGCAAAAGCGCTTCTCAAAGCACATTAGGAGATGTGGTAGGAGATCTGGGCAGTGTGAGCCTCAGGACTCTCCCAATACTGCTTTTCCTCACTGGATCTGGGATCCAGCGCAGTTGGAGGATCATTTCCTCCTTCCAGCAGATCGCCAAGTGCATTAAGAAAAAAGACAGAAACCTCAGCAGCTCCTGACCGTATTCAAACAACTGTTTCAAGTCAGCATAACCCGGGTAATGCGGGCAGTGCGCTCTCCCGCGGTGCTGCCGACCCGGCGAAACCTAGCCCTCGCGGGGAACAAAGCCACTGGAAAGGGACTCTCCTCGTGCGGGGCCCGCCGCGTGCGCAAGTGCCTTTCCCCCCATCTCTGCCTTGCAGTGGGAGCCGCTCGCCTCTAATCAGTACCGACAAGGCTAATTGGGGTGATAAAGAACTGGCTCCGCGTGCTGGCGTGGGCTGGGGGGGCCGGGGGCCGGTGGCCGGGAGCCCCAAGTCTCATCAGCCCATGCTGGCGGCGGGGCGGCGAGCTGGGGGGTTGTGTGTGTTTTGCATTCGCTGCTGACACGGGTGTAGCGTACATGCGCGTCCGGTGAAGCAGAAGCAGGCAGAAAGCAGATGCTTTTTGTTTGGGGTTGATACTCATTTCTATCCCAGCTCGGGAAAAGGTGTAGAAAGGAATGTGCTCCTAAGAGTGGAGGGAGAAAGATAGGTCTAGGCGCGCTGCCAGGGATCCTGTAATGATATGGAAGGCAGCTAGGGGAGACAGGAGCAGATGGATTTGGCATACAGCTCATCACTCAGCCAAAAAAAAGGGGAGGGGGGAAAGAAGGAAGAAAGCAGCCAATTTTGGTAGGGGGAGGGTCCTGCGGACTGACGGATGCTGTACCAGGAGGTGGGGGAAGGGATAATCTGGCTGGTCACCTCCTCTCCTACATCTCCCTTGGGAATTACAACGGGAAGGCTCAGCGGCGGCTCCGGCGTGGACCCCGGGGCAGCTATTGCTGGGAGCGCTTCGCTGGCCCCTTCCAGGAGCCCTGCTGAGGTCCCTGGCTGTGCATCCCTCCAAAAAGGCAACGGGAGACACGGCGACTGCCGAGGGCACCGCCAGGCTAGCTGAAGCTCGGAGCAGATCAGCAATGACTATCACTAATAACGCCTGAAGCAGCGCCACGAAGAACTGCAGTTGCCGGTTGCATGGTGGTGGCTGTGTGCAGAGCTTGCAGCGCCTGCACCACGAGGCTGAGATCTTAGGCATGTCCAGCCCTGATAACAGACCCTGGGCTGCCCTTGGTGTTTGCAGACACAGTGAAAAATGATCACATTTTTCCCTCAGCTTAACGAGCTACCACTCATCAGCCAAGCCGCGGGAACCAGAAATGTCCGCTTGCAGCTTGGTGCAACCGTGGTGTGAAGCCACCTTTGCGCTGGTCTCCGGCGGCTCCTTCGTGATGGCTCACGTCAACCTGATCTACTTTGGGCTCAACGCACAGTCAACTAGTGCACTTCTGCTGAGAAGCAGGAACTCGTTCAACTGGTGTAACGTGATTACTTGGGATGGGAAAAACAGCTTGACTGGGTTTTTTAGGTTTGTTCTTGTTCCCACAGTAAAACCGCCTAAACGTTATGCTTTCCGATATTTCGGATCTTCTTCTTTTAATTGACAGTAGCTGAAAGAATGCTAATAGGACCAAAATTGAAAATCTGTCCTGGAACCTGTGCTTATTTTTATAAGGCTTTCCAAAAATAGAAAATGTAAATTGAACAATTTAAAGACAGCAAGACTTTCCCTCCTCTGCTCAGATAAACTCTCTCCAAACTTTCTCCTCGCCATCAAGAATTACAAGTGCTCCCCATGGATCCACTTGCTAAAACTCAAGATCAGGAAAATGGCATTTGCTAAGGATCGCTGCTTGGAAAGGCTACGATG